AAACTTTTATGTTATTTTGCTTTCCTATCAGGGCATGAAGGTCACTCTCAATTTTTTAAATGCAGTAGTTAATATTTCTTCCCGAATTCGGATAAAGCGTTGGATTTTATATGAAAAAACTTTTATGTTATTTTGCTTTCCTATCAGGGCGTGAAGGTCACTTTCAATTTTTTAAATGGAATTAAATGGCTAATATTTCTTCCTGAATTTGGATAAAGCGTTGGATTTTACTTGAAAAAACTTTTATGTTATTTTGCTTTCCTATCAGGGCATGAAGGTCACTCTCAATTTTTTAAATGCAGTAGTTAATATTTCTTCCCGAATTCGGATAAAGCGTTGGATTTTACATGAAAAAACTTTCATGTTAATTTGCTTTCCTATCAGGGCGTGAAGGTCACTCTCAATTTTTTAAATGCAGTAGTTAATATTTCTTCCCGAATTCGGATAAAGCGTTGGATTTTACATGAAAAAACTTTTATGTTATTTTGCTTTTCTATCAGGGCGTGAAGGTCACTTTCAATTTTTTAAATGGTATTAAATGGCTAATATTTCTTCCCGAATTCTGATAAAGCGTTGAATTCTACATAAAAAAAAATTATTACACCAAATAGGGTCTAAAATACATAGTTACTGAGATATTAGTAAAAATATATTTTTACACTGTATTAGAAAAGACTGTTAATCTCAGTAACTATGTATTTCAAACCCTATTTGGTGTAATACTTTTCCTTATGTAGAATTCAACGCTTTGTCCGAATTCGGGAAGAAATATTAACTATTCCATTTAAATTCCACCTTCGTATCTCGATAAAAAAGCAAAATAACAAAACTGATTACAATACTATATGTCCACCTGGAAGCCATGCAACCTCTATCTGAACATTTTTTTTTTTGTACAACAAATATTTTATGAGTTATTTGACGTCGTCGCGTTACGAGGCTCGGCCTATGACACGAAATTCAAAGGTGGTGCGAGCGTTTGTCCGGGACTACTTACAAGACCTCTCCTCCTCCGAACCACTTCAGTATGAGCGTCGGCGTGCTCGTCTGGTTCTCCAAGTTGCGGTCCACCAGCAGCGTGGTGAACTCGCCGTACTGTATCGTCGAAATGGGGATGCACAGGCCGGTCAGGGTTCCCATGATCAGGCCGCCGATGATCAGCATCAGCTCCCCGAATGTTGCAAATCGAAACTGCCAACAGAGAGATAGAGAGCGGGGCGGTGATTCAGGCAGATTAACCTGGTAGATTCCAACTCGGCGCGAAATTTCGCGTGAAAAAAGAGAGAGAGAGAGAGAGAGAGAGAGAGAGAGAGAGAGAGAGAGAATGGAGGAGAGAAAGAGGGGACGAAGGAAAGCGGCGTGGCAACGGACGTGTACTTTAATTAATTGCGCGCGAGCATCGACGTTATGTTAATTTTCCGAATGATGGGTTTCGCTGGTAGTTCGCGAGAGAGATTCCGGCAGAGGCGGAGGCGGCGGCGGCGGCGGGCGTTGACGGGGCAATTTGTCGCGGAACTAGTCGAAAATTTCAGAAACATATTCTCGCGAGTGATTTAGTGCCCGGCAACTTTTGCCTTTGCGAGAGATTTAACCCTCGGGGGAAAATTAATACCGGCCTAACGGTGATTAATGGACGGAGATCTGGCTAGTTCTAAACAAAAACAACAACGAGAAGCAGAATCGGAATCGATCGATCGGAGCGGAATCACGGTCGTTAAAGTTTGTCAAAGACAAAGGGACCACCGAATCGGTAGCTGGTCGCCGGGTCGGAAGATGGATCTCGTCGTTTGATTCGTGGCTACAACCGGCCCGATATTTCAACCATAACGCGGGACATACGCGGAATGTTTAACAAATGTCGCCCGCCATTCTTCCGTTACGAAATTCTCTCTCTCTCTCTCTCTCTCTTTCTCTTTTATCTCCACTTTCGTTATTTCTTTTTTTTTTTTTTTTACAATACTTACGAGTTTGAAGTAAGGCACTGGTGGCAAGGATTGTTCCGGCGTGGCGGGTTTCTCCTCCTCCTTCGTTTGTGGTGGCACGAACTCACTATGAACACAAAGCGATATCGATCTTTTACTTAAAAAAAAAACATTTGTGCAAACAATTGTTCATTCGTCGATGCGCTGTCTGTTACGTGGCATCTTGCTCGGCGGCAAGTGGAAAATTCGATTGCGCGAGAGTATTTCCAGACGCTTGAGGCAGTTCGACTGAAAGCAGCTCGTGATTAACTACGACGGCCGCTAACGAACGTCGTTTCCTATTTCTATAAATATTTTTGAATGATCAAAGTAGAACGAGCCAATTAAAATGGAACGCCAATTAGTGTTGCAAAATTAGTGCTAAATTAACAGTGCAAGATGAGAATTAAAAAATAAACTAATTGAAGTGGGATAGTTTAAAATAACTAGATGAGTAACTAGATAACATTACGAGACGAAAAATACGCTTTCACTGCGATATATAATATTTTATAGAAATTAAACATTTCCTTCAATAAAACGTGTGAGTTTCGCAACGTCTTAAGAAACCGTTCTAATTTTGTAAAAAGAAATCGTACAATAATAAACGTTTAAACGTTTAAAGTCTCTAGTTTCAAAACTCGTCATTTATTTTGTTCTGAAATGTTTTTACATCGCGCAGCGAGTGGACAAATAAAGGTATTCTTCTCATCGAAAATGTTATGAATCGTCACAATAATGTAGAGGCATTGAAAAATGTTTTTCACGACTAAATCTTCGATGGATTTCAAAATCAAAGCCTTCCTTTTATAACAATCGCTCAAAACTTGCTGTGCGATTTTTTTTCGCCAATTTGTTGAACATCGAATATTAAACAGATGTCCTTAAATTTTCGTCGTACTTTGTTGTAAGTACTAATACACAGAATTATGTCGAAACGACGAGAAAAGAAATCGTACATCAAATTTTCAGAGGTCGTTGTAAAGAAGAGGTTTCAATCTTCAATTATGGAAAAAAACTGTTCAATATTTTTACGTACCATGACAGTTTACATATTATGACAGTTTTGAGAAGAGAGTGCGTAAAAATGTTTGCATACATAGTGCAAGAACATTTTAAAATAAAATAAATTCTACGTTTTAAAAGCAGAGACTTCGAGCTTTAGAATAAAATGAATTCTACATTTCGAAAGTAGAGACTTCAAGCTTTAGAATGAATTCGGATTTATTGCTGCACGATTTAATTTCCATTTCAAAGTTGTAACAGTTTAAAGCGTTTAGTGTTCGAATATTGATGGGAGGCAAGGTGGAAAGTTCAAGTTTTCAATCTTCAATCTGGAAGCACTCTCTCGCGAGGTATAGTTGCTACAATTAAAAAGAAGTTGTTACGAATAAATTTATACGATATTTCCAGTCTCTGGGACGATCAGGATTTCTCCTAATTACTTCCAGAAGCTTTCACAATCGTTCTCGCTTCCATATTTACGTCGTGCTATTTATCTCTTTGTTTGAAATTATTGTTTAACAAATAATATCCGTCAAAAATCTTATTCGTACATTGGATCGCCATTCTCTTGTAGCATATACTCAGTTTCCTCTTTATCCTTCTCTGCGTCTTTGAGCGTGTCTGAAATGAAATATACAAGGTTCCATACTCACAACAATATTATGCAGGTGAGGTGCTTAAATAATACGACCCTTCTCCTTCTCATCCGCCGTAAAATCGGAAATCGTCAATCGATGAAAAATCGATTTAAGAGAATCTTATCCTTACCTTTGTCAGCGTTTCGAAATAATATATATGGAAATCTAATTCGCGAATTTTGAGTTTGAAATCTTTTTTATATCTTAGAAACTAGATCTTTTTTTTTCTCGATACAAACGATCGTAATGGATGGGCCATTATCAATCGAGATCAACCTCTATAGTTTAAACGCGAATTATTTTCCATCACCTGACTTCGAGAGTTTCGAATCGCAGAAACCTGTTTCAGGAACTTCAAATTTCGAAAGTTTCGGAGTCCCGTGGTTTCTCTGCCGTTCTTCAAGATCGAAACGCGCTCGTGATACTATCGTTTGCTTAATATCGTTGCTAAAGCGCGTTGCTTCTCGATAACGATCGGCATTTCTGCCCTCTGTTCACGAGCGAAAGAAATCGAGTGGCAAAAGTGGTAAAAACGCTTCGCGTTCACCGGCCAACAGCGAAATCATTTCCTCCGGGAAACGACTGGATATGTTTTATAAAACAGCCAGCTAACGTCCACGATACAAATGGAACTTTCGCTACGAAGAAACTAATAGTTTCTCTCCTTCGGCTGAAATAACCTGACAAACGATCCAACGAATTCGGAGGGAATAGCTTTGCTAAATTGTCTACGAATCCTCATCCTCTATAGCAAACGATAATAACTCCTCTCCGCTTTCCTGTTTAAAGTATCATTAAGATGTTTGTCTAAACGGCTTGTGAAAATCCAATTGTTTTGAAAAAAGAATAGAAAATCATAACTTTGTACAATCTTTGTACAGGATGATTCACGTAATTTGCACGTTTGAAGTAAATTATGCGTCGAATGAAAAATTGTTGCGTATAGTTTTAAGAGAGGCAGAATATGGCGTATCAATTTTTTGTATATGTTGAGAAGTTTTAGAATTTCCAAATTCGTTTTTGTTTAATTACTATAAAGATGACCTTGGAAATTTCGAAACCTAAACAAAAGAGTTTTTGTATTAAATAATTTTTCACTACACGCATAATTTAAAGGTTATTTCAGATGTGCAAGTTACGTGAAACACTCTGTATTTGTAACCTATATATATTTATCAAATATTTGAAGAAGAACGAGGATTTGGAGCATTTTACGTTTTTTAACTATCAATGTTTTAATTTAGTTTAATTTTACCTAGAATTTACTTCATAAAATACACAAAACTTTTGTTAAATAATTTATTTTGAATATTTGAAGAATATGACTTATCAATGACAGTAAACAATTATCGAATAAATAATTTAAACTGACATAACTTTGTATATACTTTCTTCTCGGAAAGTTAAAACATGTACAAAAGCATTAAAAAATTTTGTTCACGACTAAATTCACCATGATCTCGAAGGTTGAAGCTTTTTCTCTACAACAATCCCTTAAAACTCACTGTTTTATAGGGTCGCGATTTATTTTCCCTAGTTTATTGAAATTGGGTTAGAGTGGCTAACTGGCGGATCCTTGCCCCTACTTTTTTGATCGCTAGCGCTATCCCCTCCACAACGTGGAAGTTTCAGTGTAGTGGAGGGGGTAGCAGCGATCAGTAAAACAGGGGCAAGGTCCGCCAGTTAGCCAGCTCTGGGTTAGATGACGAAATATTAAGATTTCTTGAATCTTTGTCGTTTAACTCTAAAAGAAAAAACAAATATCGTTGGTAATCACGCAACAAATTTTAAAGGATCGTTGTAAAGAGTGGACACGTTTGAATTTTTACAATTTCCTACAAAAAAAAAAAAAAAAAAAAAAGTACTCTAACTTTCCCCCTATCCGATGTATGATAAAATCAACAAACTCACAACTTCACACTTTAAAACGCTCGATCAAGTTGTATGATCTGTTTCTTTTTTCTACAAAGTTACATCAGTTTAAGTTATCGAATCTTTATCGTCAGTTGTACAAACTTCTTCACCGTATACACGTAGACTTCTGCAATCGTGAAATTGCACTCTTTGCAAACGAGTAGAAACGCAAGTAGCGGAAACCCGCGAGTACATATTGAACTTGATCCCGACGCCTAGTCAGAAAGTCAAAGTAAGCACCCTAAAGTCTTCTTACAGTTACAGAGAGAAGATTTAGTCTACTGCCGTTCCTAGCAGAATCGAACGCCATTATTTTCGAGGCAGCCATAAATCTGCTGGTAACACTATGTAAATCGTTGGTTCGCGGATCAACGGAGACGCGGTGGATCGTCGCCGGCGCGTGAAAAGATGGAGGGGGCGAAGTTTCCGGGTCCCGTCGCGAGAGCCTGGGAAAGTGTCAGGGCCTCCGCGAAGTCTGGATCTTCCCGTAGGGGCTCCATTAGCGGCGTAATTGCTGTTGGGAAACTCCTGCGACGAATCTACGATCGGTATTTTATACAGGGGAACAGGGGAGAGACTGCCAGCTGCTTCCCTGCCAGCAGTAGCGTGCATAGATGAATTTACCCCCCGGTAAACGAGACGCGCCCGTAACAAGTTCGATTTCGGTAGTTGAGCGCGCAAACTTTTCCCTTCGACCTCCCACGTTCTATCCCGCCTGAACGGAATTTAATTGTATTTCGCAGAACGACAATTGGATTAAACGTTGTAAACGAAAGTTCTAAATGGAATGGGCTTGTTGATTACGGGATTATTATTCCTGTTGTTGGCGTCTAATGAGAATGATATTCCGAGTTTCTTGAGCGGTCGCGGGTCATTCGAAGGAAGGTATTAAATGATTTTTTTAGAACAGGTATTCAAAAATGAGAATAAGAAACGATTAGGGAGGTGTGTGTCGAGCAAATGAATATGGTAAATTGACGGTGATAATTTAACATTGTAGAAAAATGTCCATCAATTTTATATTTAGTGAAAAGATGAGAATATTGTAAATAGCAATCTATCAATTTTATTTACGCATGAATTTCTTAAAACGTTACATTTTCATTGGGAAGACAAGAAACGGTCAGTGGTGTGTGTATTTTGGTGAATTTTGTGAATATTATAAATGGAATGGATATTGCGTTGAGGATTTAACGTTCTGGAAGAATCTTCATTAATTTTAATTACGTACGAGTTTTTTTTTTTTTTTAGAAATTTCATATCTTTTTCTTCCCTTTGTCTGTGTGTAGTTCTTTTTTCCTCGATTCTCGGTCGCGGTGATTTATCAAGACGCACATTTCTAAGAAATATTAATCACGTTTCGTTTCGATCCATCTTTCAAGATAAACGATTATTTCCCAGCGCAGCGAATTTTCCTGAATTATTGCGCGCACAAGAACTCGCGAAACTATCTATCCAAGAAAAATTTGTGCGCGCCGCCTTCCCGTGTTCGTAGTTTCCGTCATCTGTCGCCACTCGGGCCGATCAATCTCCCAACTTTCTCGATATCCTCCAGCCGTCAATAAATGCAAAATTCCCGGAAACTCGCAGATGAACGTCGTCGACGATCCGCGAGCGTAAACGCTGTTTAAATTTCAATTTTCCACTCTCCAATCGTTAAATATAAATATTCAGTAACTCGATGCGAAAGATCGAGGTTCCTTTCGTCAAACATCATAATGTTTGACCGTTACAACCGAAGAATGAAAATTTCTTTAGCAGCACTTTACAACGAGTATCCGTATTCTGCGCAAACGGAGAAAAATCCTCGCTGCGGTTTAGCAACATCGCCGATACAAACGAAATCTCGATGATTGTTGGTTATCGATCGATCACGAGTGATCGAGCGTCCGGATAACAGAACGCAGCCGATCTTGAAGCAAGGCGGAAAGATCGCAATTTTTCATCTCATCGATCACGAACATTATAACCATCGATCAGCAACGGTGGATAAGTTCGTCATTTATCCCCGTTTACCCACCGTAAAGGAGCGAAGTTCTACGAAAAGTTTAGTGGCCACGTTGCCGATAAAGCTACCACACTCGCTCGGGTGTGTAAATTAATTCTTCTTTTTTTTTTTTTTTTATTTTTCGCGTGAAGGCGAAGCTCTTGGCGAGTGATTATACTCTGCCTTTCCGACTGCTCGTCGCGAAAAGAGAGAAAATCCAAGACCAAGTGGAGGGTCTCGCGTGCGGCTTCAACTGATGAAGATATACTTACACTTCAAGAATATTTTTTCCTGGCGGTGAGAGTTTGTTTTTTGGGGTTCCATTTCCATACCCTGCGCCTTCTCGCGCGGGCTTGCTGTCCACTGACAAATTCGCCGTGTCATCGCGCATTCTTAATTAACAACTCTGCAATCAGAATGAAAGGTTCATCGTTTTCACATCTGTCGTTAATAAACTTGGACAATCGTAGATATTTCAATCAACCTCGATCCTAATTTATCTTTGATACGCGCGATGCGCGATTTCATGCAGTTTGCGAATTTTTATGAATTTTGAAATTGTTAGGGTATACTTTATCTTTTTTACAATACATTATATTAATAATACATTACATTACATTAATAATTAAATATTTTATACAAGTATATTATATGCAATATTTGTGTATTATTATTTGCATTTTTGCAACTCTCAGTTTCCCATAAATGGATAAAGTCTGCATCGTAATCAAAAGGAAGAAACAATGTTTCTTCTTTCATCGACATTTCATTAACGTTCATATTGCAAGTCAATTCCTTCGAATTCGATTTTTACCAAGGCCGATGTAAGTCGCAACAAAAAGATTCTCCTCATACGTGTGATCATGCCGCGCTAAAGTACCCATAAAGTACCCAGTAACTCTGCAATCCTTTCGACAAAGATGAACAAAAAGAAAGAAAAAAGGAGGAAGCGAATTCTCCAAAAATCGAAACAGACGCAAGAGCGACTCGACTGCTCGACGTCTCGACGCAATCTGTCTCTCAGAGCAAACATTTGTTGGTAAAATTCGCGCGAGCTTCGTACGCCGCGTCGTTGTTCCGGCATATTGGTCGGAAAGTGGCGTTTGGAAACGTCACGCGCAACCAACCGGCCCTCGAGCTTTCAATAAACGCGCGAACAATCGACATTGGCGCCACGTCCGCGTTGGAAAAACGCTGGCCGCAACGGGGCAGAGACTTGCCTGGATCGCGATAAATTAAGCCCGGGCTGACGTTTTGATTGCCGGCCGAGCCTATATTTGTTGCGGTCAATATTTGCGCCGGCCCCGCGCCGGATCCATTGTCTCGATCCCCGTTACAACGTCCCAGTGACTGTTTCTCGTGAAGGGCGAGGGGACGGCGGCCGGACACACGTCCACGCAGCTTTGCGCAAACTGCAATTAGCAACGATAATCCACGGACAACAAACTCTATTTACACCGGTCATTATCCACTGTATCATACATTTACCATACAGGATATATCCAATCTAAGCGACGACTAGAAACCCCCCCGCTAATCCGTGTTAATTAATCGATTGACCGATGGGACCTATGATTACGTTTTAAGGGACGGGTCTAGCTGCGTTTCGATTACGCGTTAACAATGACGAAAACCTCTATCTATCTATCAATCATTCGGTGACCGAAGGACACGTTGCCGGCCGAAAAATTTGCAAATTTCGTTGACGGTCGCGGGTTGCTACGAATCTATTGCTGGGAATTTGATTTTTTTTGTTTTTTTTGTTTGTTTCATTTTGCTCTGTGTTTCTGTTGTTCTCTTTAAATGGACCAATTTTTTTTCAAGCTTTTCCAAATAAACGTGTTCGACGAGAGTAATACTTTTCAAATTTTTCAATTCTGTGAAACCTATGTAATAATGGCGATCTTTGGCCAAATTATTTCTTAAAGACTAAAAAAAAAGACTGAAAATAGATGGCAATAATAAAAAAAGGGAGTCTCGGTCGGCGTTGCTGGAACGACCGAGACCTTTCTAAATCTTCGGGTGCTCAACAGGCTACGACGCGAACTAAAACGATAATTCAGCGCTCGAGGTAGCCATCATTTCCTAGTCGCGATATACACCGTGTCGCTACGCCGTACAGTAAAAAATTCTTCTTTCTAAAGTCGTTCGTCAGACTATGTTTCGAAATACAGGCACTCTCTGTATTTCAATTAACACAGCAGGATTATAGATAAATAAGAGAATTATATTCCGACATTCTTTTTTAATTACAAAGAGGACTCATCAAATTCTTTTCCCATCTGCAAATTTATTGTAAATGTATTATAAATGTAGTTTATGCTAAAAAAATATTTGACACGTTCCTTTTTTTTATTGATAATCGTCGATATTGAAGGGGTGAAAACCACCCTCAAAGTTGGATCAACATATTTTGCATCAAATATCTCGGAAATTACTGAAGTTGAATACAGTGTAAATTGATGAAATCAATGCTTCTTAATAGTGTATATAATTTGCAAATAGTATATACATTTTAACGTATACCATTTGCTTAAACGATATTTTTTAAAAAAAATAGTAATTTTTATAATCCTCTGATGGTCCTTCCAAGTAAATGTTAATACATTTCCTTGAATATTTTTTTCTTGAAGGACATTTCTTACGTGTTCAAACACAAATTACGGATAAATCGGAGTCACAAATTTTCCGTTACAAAAGAATTCATCATCTTCGAATCATTTCCCCGTTAAAACAGAAAATAAAGGACTCGTTGATCACGCGGGGAATCAATCGAGTGGAATTTTCGTCGAGTTGGCAATTGTGCCGGCGTCGAAGATTGCGGACGGATCACCCCTGAAGCGCAAAAATGCGAGAGGGAGGCGAAAACCACGCGGAGGAAACCGCGACGACAAGCGACAAAGCGTTAATGTTCGGCAACTGCAATTTGCAACCTGCGTTTCCCACATTGCTCGGACTTTCTTGCTTTTAATTGCTGTTCTAATTGTTCGAACGAACAGCGCGATAAAAACGGCCAGGCCATTTTTGGGCGTTCGTGTTCCGAACTGACAACGAGCCGTATCGGTCTTTAATCGTGAACCGCCGCTGCTCCGCTACTTTTCCACGACGAAAAAAACCGGCCACCGGTCCTTTGAATCGTAAAGAGCGACGTTCGAGACGCGTCTTTAATCGTCGAGACGAGGTTCTCGTGGCCATTGTTCATTCGCGCTGGCACGAACAAAGACGGGGGATTAAATCGAGATAATTTATTCGTAACTCCGAATATTGGAATACTCCGATCGGGTGTAATCCCGATTGAATCGAAGCATGCACGAAGCGATCCTTTAAGACAACGTTTTTTTTTTGCCTCTGGTGTCCTTCCTCTTTTTCCCGTAGACAGCTAACTGTCTCGGCAGCCAGTAATAAGGTTCGAAAGCACTCTGAACAAGACTACGTTGAGGAAAACGAGAGAAAGCCAATAGAGTGAAAGAAGAAAAAAAAAAAGTAGAAGAAGAAAAAGAAGACGAAGAAGCTACCAACCACCCTTTTTATTTCCCACCGTCTCCGCATCTCTTATTACTTTTGCTCTTTGATCAAGCGTGCCTTTGTTATGGCGCCGTGTCTTTCGCCAACCGTTCCTTTCGTAACTATTACAGAAGTAACGACGCGACGTATCAATGTCTCGCCCTCTCCTCCCGGTGCCTCGTATTTTTTCTTCTGATCGATCGTTTCTTTAAGCAGACTTGTCCTTCTTTCTCGTAGCTACTTTCACTTCTGCTTTACCGTTTTTTTCCTAATCGTGAAAGGTTTATTATTAACCTCATCTTGATGCACTGATATTCGAGCATTCGATGATCGTTTTAATTGATTACGAAATTACATCGATGTGGTCCTCACATTCTTGAATGTACTTGAGGCTCGATATTTTATTCGCGCAGGAAAATGTGCTTCTCGTAAATATCGAAAATATTAACGGTAAATATCGCGGATGATTCATGCAACTAAGTTTGACAATTAGCAACTCAAAACTTCAACAGTACAACAATTTTTCAACGACTCTCTATCTCTGACTCTCGACATTTTCAGCGATTTATTTCGACTCCTCGGCTGTTTCGAATATTCGATTGTCTTCTAGAACGACTGCTGATTTCTATTTTTTTTTTTCATCTATGTTCTGCAGTTCTTTATAATTCTGTAAACAGGAGTGATCAGTTTGTGACGTTAGTCTACGAAGCAGGAATGATCGGTTTATGATGTTAGTCTACGAAGCAGGAGTGATCAGTTTGTGACGTTAGTCTACGAATAGAACTAACTTAGGAAAAATTGCAGCTGTGCGAGTGTGTCCAACTGCTGTCTCACGCACCCTCTTTTTATACCCTCGCCTATCCTTCATTCTCACCGGGCTCGACTGACGTTCGACGTTCTACCAACGTTTGGTTTTTTTCCCCGCCACCTTATCCGACCCTGTGACTTGTAACAAAGCCAATCGTACCACTAAAAAGCTATTTATTGACCAACCTGACGACCGACTTCCGATACCACATATAAAAACCTTCCGTTATTTCGCTTATTCTCTGAAAAATCTCAGATCTCGTTGCGAGGAAATCCAATAAGAGTACGATACATTCGACAGACATCTCCGCGAGATCCGGAGAAAATCCAAAGGGCAAAGAGCCCTGTGACATGGAGTGATACAAGGCGAGAGTCGAGCTTTTTATTAACGAGCCGGCTTTTCAAAGACGCGAGAGGTAATAAAGAGCCGGCGAGGAATCGACGACATCCCGGGCCCAGTCAGTTTCGAATTATCCTGTTTCACGTGAACGAGAGCTTCCCGATTTCATTTGTCTCTGTTCCAATAAAGCCCGAGCCTCTCCCGATGCCGCCAGTTCGAGACACGCGATCCAATTTTTCCTTCGTCGCGCACTCCGCAACGGCAGTTTATAAAATTCTCCCGTTCGTTTATCGGGATCGATGCGACGATAAATTGTCCCTGAAGTTGCGAGGCAAGGCCATCTCGTGTCCGCCAACGTAAGCGAGACACACCTTTTCTACGCGGCGTTGTTGTTTTTTTTTTTTTTTTTTTTTTTTTTTTTTTTTTTTTTTTTTTCTTTTTTCTCTTCTCGCCACTCGTATATCATCGATGAGATCCTGCGACCGGAAGTCGAGCGGAAGGCCCGCGTCAAGTCGAGATACGGACTCGCGTTCGTTTTGTCATGCCTCTCGAACGTCAGACAGCTGACAGATTTCTGAATATTTATCTCGTGGAAGATCTCGCGTTCTCTCGAGGTTCAATAAACTTGGATTCCTATTTTATTTCGGAGGATCATTTTCGTCAATTTATTTTCAAAGAATCGTTCGCGTTCTTGCAACTTCATGCCATGTTGGTTCGAATAGACGATTAAAAAATGGCTATAGAAGGAGAACTTA